CAAAATCCGTTGAACCTGAACTGACTAATGGCAATTCCCATTTTTGACAAAAAATTGCCGTGGCTTGAAAGTACGTCGACTGGCGTGCTCCAAAATAGGATGTTCAATATGGGAGCATAGCAGTAACAACTATACCCAATTTCAAACATGTGGGTCAAACGGTTCCTGAGTTATCGTTGACCGTAGCCAAATGTTGACGGACGGACGGACGGACAGACAGACGACGACCCATGGCAATAGCTCAGCTTGACGATGTCAAGGTGAGCTAAAAACTTGTAACCTAATAAACTTAGGCTACAGGGTAAATGTCTATATATAAATAATGTGCATGATGTATGAAGTTGTATGATGCACAGTTGTATTGTTGAATCATGTAGCAATGATGTGTGAAGCTGCCTCCAACGTGTATGTATGAAGTAATTATGTTTAACAGTTTATTATATACAGCCAATGGTTTCAACTCAAAGGCTATTTCAAAATTAGAATAATGTAAACAAGAATACATTTCCACTAAGATTTCGTTTACTTGGCTGTATACCCCATTCACACAGGCTGCCCACTGGGCAGTGCCCATCCAAAGTGTATGTCTGCCTCGCATTGCCAATTTTCCTGGTGTAACACAGGTAAAGGAGGGGTATCCCCGAGTACACTTATATTAGAACAGTGTGAGCTACTGGTTATATGGATTCATGGTACACTTTATGCAGAAAAGGTACACGAGAAGCTATTATAACAGCAATGCCTGCTATAAGAGGGTGCAATCAAAGTGGAAATTAGATTATTCGGTTTTAACCAAAAGAAAAAAAAGCGAGTGGAGCCAGGTCTACGAATAGTGCGATCCAGGCCTTTAAAAGGTAGGCCAAATTACGTCAGGGCACTTCATAAATCCTAAAAATGTGAGTAGAGTTAAGCTGGGTTTACAACATTAGTTGTAAAGTTGACGAGTTGATCAACCTTTCAACGTTCTATCAACCTTTCTATCAGATGTTCACATACATTATTGACATCAAGATAAAAAAAACCCAAAACAAGAATTATCTAGCTGGGCCTTAGTATTTAGGATTTTTAAAGGTACCTTTAAGCATCACATAAAACACATAAAATTTGAGGTGAGTGATACTGGGGTGCACATTTAAGAATACTCATTTGTGCTCACAAATTTAGGTTTTCATGTAAAAAGAGAGCGAGAAAGAGAGAGAAAAAGAGAGGTGCGGAGATAGAGATAGATGTGAGAGAGAAATACATTTCTCGCATACTAGAGAAAACTCGCAAACTCGCATACTCGCAATACTCGCAATATAATAGCATACTCGCAATAATAATAATAATAGTAATATTATTAGTAATAATATTAATAATAATAGCATACTCGCAAACCATCCACCGAGATGGGTTTATCTCGCACTACTTTTTAATCCAATGATTTTCCTTAATTACAAGGTCAAAGGTCACCTTAACAGTTTTTGGCCAATCAATACTCATAAAATTAATTAATACAAAAAATAAAATAATAATAATAAAAATATATTTAAAAAAATATTAAAAAATATAATAAAATATAATTTAAAAAAAATTTTGAACTGAAATGTTCTTTCTGCAATAAAAAGTATAACAAAAATATGCGAGAAAAAGGTTCTGTCACAGTATGAGCTTGAGATTGGAAATATCTCACCAATACCTCATTACAGATAATCACGTCTCATACTCGCTACGCTCGTATGAGACGGGATATCTATAACTCGGGTGAGAAATCCAATCTCAATCTCATACTGTGGCTGATAGGGTCTATGTCTCCCTGGGTACTGCCGGAACGTACCCTGGTAACTATCTGATATATGGTTAGGGTTAGGGTTAGGGTTAGGGTTAGGGTTAGGGTTAGGGTTACCGTTAGGGAGAAGGCATAGGCGACTCCCTAGACTAGTTAGTGGAGTAGGCGAGGTACGTTCCGGCCGTACCCAGGGAGACATAGACCCTGGCAGCCATACTGTGGCTCATAGGGTCTATGTCCCCCAGGGTACTGCCGGAACGTACCCTGGGTACGTACCCAGTACCCTTAGGGACATAGACCTCTCAGCCATACTGTGATAGAACCTATTAGTCCCATACAACCACGCACTTATGAACACCAAAAATCTGAGCGCACAGCTAAATAACTGCCTCTGCAAACCAGACGACAAATACATACGATGTAAATTACAACAATCACATCTTATAGCAATGCTAATGTTATGCCCAAAGTTGGATGTCATAACATACGCGGTGAGAGCTATTCTGCGTGAGGTACGTGTGTACGAGTATATATATGTGATTTAATTTTATAAATGTGTACAGTGTTTCATTTTTGCTTCAAAAAACTCCATTTCACCTCAGTCGCAGAGAGTTGCAATGCGTCGCGTCGTGTTCAATTGCAATCCGACCTAAGGCCGGCTTAACTCACCAAAAAACTTTTCAGTTCTGGAAAGAGCAAAAAAATGTCAAAAAATGGCAAAAATCGTAAGCGCGTAAAATCGGGGTTTCACTGTATGCGCACTATCTTGATTTACCACCTTTACTTGCCTGTAGAAAATAATATTAATCTCCTTTGACATAACTGATTTCTTTAATCAATTAAAATCAGGCTTTTTCTTGTGACACCATGGATGTTCAACTGAGAATCTAAAATTGTTTTGGTTTGATATTTGACTGAGTACTGGACATCACACCACGTACGATAAAAATTCGAACTTCTGCCGATTGTGACAGAAGACCACTAGCAAAGCCCCCAATTAAGGTTTGCACCAACAGGCTTACCCCATTTTACTAAAAATAGATAGGGTCCAGTGTTGTCAGTACCATACATCTGTATGTGATATCATGCAATATTTACACATGCACTACAAGTATGCCCAAACATTTATTGTTTCAATAATTATTGAGTAACTTCCAAATTGTCAAGCATGTCTCCACGAATGTGATTAATTGTTAATAGGTGTCTCGGTAAGGATTCAACAACAGGATCACCAACGTATACACAATTTCATGGTAATAATGCAGTAAGCACTCTGTATCACTATCAGGAGTAATACTACATGTGACCCGCTCCAGCATAATACGGACTAAGTCGCAAGTCATTGTTTTGAGTAATGAGCACGCACACATGTCAATGCTGAAAATGGCCTACCTGGACAAAAATGAGATTTTTACAAAAATACGTTCCTAAGTGAATATTTAATCCGGATATATAGGTTCAGATATCTCTAGATTATTATGGTCATTTTAAATTTTTTTTTTTAAGGGAAAAAAATTTTGAAGGGGCCCTGACCGCTCATCCCCGACTGGGCCCCTTTACCCGGAACGCTTTATCTCAAAATTTGCATATTCCGGAATAAGTCGGTTTCCGATCTTCAAATTGCTGTAGCGGTAAATTCTTTAGATATAGCCAAATATTATATATCATTTTAAAGGTAATTAAATTATCTATTCAGATATGCACATAACTCAATTTGTAGAATTTCCTACTTAATCCTGTTGTTGCTGGAGCAGGTCACATATAGTGAAACTGGCACCAGTATGAGCAAAACTGACGGGAGAGAGAGCGAGAGAGTATTAATATTAGAGTAAGAAAAGTTTTGAGCACCAGTAATGCTATTGTAAGATTTTACTTAACGAGTGTAAGGATGCTATTAAAAAAACAATGTTTTAACTGAACATTACCTTTATCCTATAAATATTCTACAATGAGTGGAGCCTAATGTTGGTAACCATAGATGTATCCAATAAATGCTTTCAACACTCGCTAAGCAACTCAAGGATACCCTTCTGTCAAATGGGTGAAGTGGGGACATTCGGTGTCTAGAAGTTTGTCTACGAACTCGATCCACAAGCACTTGTCGACCATGTTTCATCTCATCTAGATGGTGAAATGCTTCCTGAAAAATAATAATGCCAATGTCAGTGATGCAATACAATACATAAATAATTCTGTGCAATTAGTGTTACCTTGACTTAACTGTGAGTTATAGCATAAAATTATTTCACAGTTAAATGATATTGCCTACTGAGCATTAAATATCTCTAATAGATGAAGATTTAACACAAACTATGACTTGTATGAGAGATGCAAGTGTCAGCAATGATGTCAATCGTAAACACCAGTCCATATCGATCTATTTACTGTTTTATTTATACCTGTACTTGTATATTCATTCAGGGCCTAATCTAGCTGCTTAATATGGGCACCCGTGGCGAGCGTAGTGAGTGTAAAAATATTATATATATACTTATCTATCACATTAAAATGACTATTGCGAGATTTTTGCTCTGAAAAACTAAATATAGCTGAATATAGTCTCACCTGACAGCGAAAATATCACCGATTACACCAACATTAAAAATACTAAGATTTTATGCAGTTATAGCATAGAAATTTGGATATGAACACATCGTAACAGCAATGCATTTTATCGTGTCGCGACAATGCCTAATGACAGAATTGGTAAATTTGTATTTGTGTCGGTGATTAAATGAAAACAAGTGCATGATTTGAGAGAGCCATGCTTTGTCAATGGCAGATAAGCGGTGGCGCCACAAGCTAATCCACACTTCCGCCTAGTTCAAGATAACAGAAAACGAATGTTTCCGAAACTAGTTCGAAACCAGTAGTTCGAAACTGGCAGTTTTTGGTAAATACGAAGGTTCTAAGACATTTTATTGTTACTCTAGGCAATTGCTGTTACTCAAGCAATAACGGTAGGTGTCATGAAAGTGGTGAAAACACTGGAAAATTCTCGCAATAATCGCTTTAAATTGGGCGTTTGGTCGACACATTTTATTCAGATAATAGATACTAGATCTTATATGAGCATTTTATTATAAAACAGTGCCTACATAACGATAGAAACATGAAGATCTGCATCAGAGCTCTGCTAATTTGGGCGTTTTGCTAGGGGTCTTTAATTTGGGCGGCCGGTATTCGGTATGTAAAATGGCCTGGATTAGGCCCTGTCATTACTTGTTTAATTTAAAGGGACAGTAGCCTCTAGGATTTTACTGCCTACAACTGTACTTACTGTATAACAAATCGTCTATACCCACACGTATTTGTTACCAGATACTTCATTTAATTGTTATAATTATTTACACATAAACGCTACAAAATTTGAACGGCGCCATGACACCCGCGACCGTGCTGCCACCCCGAAAAAGTTGCGTATTTGACCATTTATTTTGCAGGTTACAGACCGAGGGCTAATCACAAAAGTGCAATTATATTTATACCTAAATGCTATTTAACCGAACAATATTCATTTTAGGGCAAATTTATCCATATTATATAAGTGAAACTATATGTCGTTTATAAGATATTACAATCCTTTTGCTTTTAAATTAATAAATAAGAAACACCCTCGGTCTGTAGCCCTTGGCTGGAAAGTGGTTTTGCGCAACTTATCAGATCGTGCGCTTTGAGTGGCGCCACCGTCGTTGTAATCAAACTGTAGTCGTTAGTTTTAAAACATTAAAAAAAAATATTTCTAATGGTGATTATTATACCATGAAACTTTTTATGTAGCGTAATTATAACCTAAATTAGCTAAAAATAACCGTAGAACGTAGAGTAAACTCTCCCTTTAAAGTTATTGCATCCTTTAATGAAATAATTCTGTCCTCTAAGCTTAAAGCTTGAACCTACAAACTTCGCATGATAGTTCATACAAACTTCGCATGTCATCATTTTCTTATCTTTTATCATAATAGCCAATCTCTTCCTAGCGCTTTCCCACACCATAGATTAATTTGGTACACGCGTATATAAGATAGCCGAGTCGGTTTAGAGTTAGTGTTTGGGCTAGGCATAGTGGGTGGTAATGCCGTACCCGTAGCCTCTGCGTAATTAGTTTATATAATGTTACCGGACACAAGGTCTGGTGAATCCAAATTTCTTGTCGGACCCGTGCAAAAATCCCCGGTTTTGTCAGACGATCCAACGCTTTTGGCGAGGACTGCTGTACAGTCAGTGTGACTGTACAGTGCTGCCATCTATCAATCTATAATTTTAAAAATTGTAGGCGAGTTTTATTAATTTCACTATTAATGGTCGTACAGACTTCAGATTTTCACCAAAATCTATCTTATCGGCTGCTCGTATTGCCAAAAACAGTGTTCGCTCTTGCAGCAAACACAGCCCTCTAGTTTTCATTTCATCTTTTAATTATAGTAACCAGAATTGATAGTGGACAACTTATTACGAATTTGGCGGCAAGCTAATATAGTTATAAATGACACAAGGTATCATTTATTCTATCGATAGTCACCACTGAAGGTGAGATAGACACATTGGGCTTTAAATGTCATATTTACAAGTTGACTGGTATTTTGCCTAGAATAATCATTTCTCAAAATATTTTGTTCTGCTATGACCGATATCAATAGTTCGAGGCATCAATTTGCATTATCCTGCCGCAGTTAGACGGATTGTTCCTGCCATGAGCCTGAGATGTGCCTTTAGCTTTTTTAACTAAATTTATTTATTTATTTATTCCCTAATTAATTATGGGTCAGATGTATTAGAGTGCAATCTCTCACTATGTCAAAATACAAAACAGTTAATACCGTACATGCCACCTATTAGAACATCAACAGGCGAATTTGCAGCACTTTAACTGTATCAGACACAGGTACTTGGAGCATTTAAATGACAAAATTCTAAATAAACCCGAAATGTATTTATTACCCAAGTCTCAATGTTTATGTATTTTCTTTCTCCTATTATTCTCAATGTCAATATGTCAATATGTCAATATGTCAATGTCTTATGTTCTATTAGTCTCAATGTTTATGTATTTTCTTTCTCTATATTATTTGCAACAGTTTCCTCTAAATGCAGTTGAGATGCTCCTCTGCAACACAATCTCACTGAACACACGCCACTGTGCATGAACTCACAAAAATATAGAGCAGGTGGGAAAGTGACAGCACCAAATTTGTACAATGGTCGATTAGTTATACATGTTCACAGCGCAAAAAACTCAAACAATCGCCTCCATTCTGGTATCTATGCATAGCCAAATGTTCACTTGATTGAATTATTGCCCTTGCAACATAGTTTACTTGGAGAAATCTAGTAAATTTCCTACAGAAAACACCACTCCATGAAAATGTAAATGAGAGAAACTGCTTGTATATATACACAGGGGTCGAAATTAGATTTTTATTATGGTATCAATTCGGGATACCAGGTATGAAATCTGGTAATCCCCCCAAAGATCTGGTATCCCATTTTTTTGGTATAGTAATTTAAACAATGTTGGTATCCAAAATCTTTAAATATGCAATAATAGCAATTTGAAAATTATTAATATGTAATGTAATTATTATATAAAAACATGAAAACAGATTCACAGATATGCACAGACAAGTACACTGCAGACGTATTGTCTAGACGTAGTCTGGTTCGCTTGATACAATGTATACACATCCGTACACATGTACACACATGCTGCGGTATAAAGTTCATAACTCAACAACCACTATCCCGATTTTGACGATTTTTTTTACTATCCCGGCAGGATACCAAGCATTGAAAGCTGGTATCCAACACAAAAATCTACTACCCCGCGGATATCGGGATACCGCTAATTTCGACCCCTGAACACGAGTAATGGCGATGCATTGCATGCTGGGTTCAAGCTCTTCCTGCTTCAGAGCTCCATAACGAGCCCTGCCACTGTCGTGATCTGTAGTCACGACTATTTTGGACTTATATCAGAAACTTATCAAAGAGATTAACACATGTTTATACCGGAACAGGAACTAACTTTATTCAAATAAGATAACGCCACAGATGGCGCTCTGGTAGACATGCGAGTGGCGCCGCCTGGTGGGCGCAGCAGTACTAGTAGTCACAGGCTACTACATCTCTCCCCCTTTTTAAACAGAACAGAATTCAAAAGATACCAAACTGAAATATCAATCACTGAGCCTTACATGGCAAACGTATCAGTAAGGCTACAACTCTTGGGGACGGGAGTACACACAGAAACTACGAACTTGTAATACTCGGACTGGCTACTGGTAATCCTGGAGATAGGTAGGCCTCCTTCGTTCACGCCCGGGATACCTGTGTGGACTAGGCACCGGTTCTACCTCAGGGTTCTCTACCTGGACTGGAGGTTCAATGGGGGAATAATAATGGGCATGGTTAACTCGGGAACATTATCCTCCTCCGGGTTTGTGTCAACGAGGGGATGTATCTGCTTTAGCAGGGAACAATTCCTCGCCTTTACTTCTTTGCCGCGCTGGATGATCACCATGGGACCCCTAATATTTATCACCTCGTAGGGATCGGGCTTAAACTTGGGGAAACTTTGTATGCCTGCGTCTGTCCGCATACCTTTTCATTTTCTCCTTGTTTCTGTTGTCAATGCCCCTCAGGACCGTATCGGAAATCTTTGCCAGGATTTGGGGCAGCTTGGTCTTACCCATATACCTATGGACAATGGACGCAGGGGTTTGCATGGTCGTACAATTCGGGGTGTTACGATAATTCCTCAGAAACCCATACATAACCTGTTTCCAAGGTTGTTTTTCAACCTGAGGGGGGTACATGCTTTGTTCAATGGCTTATTGAAACTCTCAACATCCCCGTTGGCTTCGGGCCACAAAGGTGTCACTTTGCAGTGATGGAAACCCATGCATTTTGCGAAATTTGCGAATTCACTAATTTGAAACGGCGGACCGTTGTCGGTCTTCACTACATCGGGTATCCCTCGCGATGAGAATATCTTGTTGAGTACCGGGATTACAGTACGCGCGGCCTTCGAGTTGACAATCTCTACTTCTGGGAATCTACTGTAGTTGTCAATGACTACGAGCAGGTACTCTCTCTGAGGCAGTGGACCATTAAAGTCTACACTGACCTCTGACCACAGAC